ATTTAGATTCTTAATCAGCTTTATTATCATAATTTAGTATCTTAATTGATTGAAAACTGTTATTTTTATATAATTGATTGTAAACAATTAAAACGAAAGGTACAAATTTATTTTTTTTCTCACATTGATTTCGTTACAACGAAAGTGATTTGAAAACTTTTTCGCTAAGTAGCAATAGATTATTTCCAATAGGTAGTAGTTATTTAATCATCATCATGATTAACTGATTATAAGCATTGATAATGGTCACAAATGATAATCATTATAATCAACAATCAATGTTGTTGTTTGATTGTTACTGTTTAAAATGAACAACTTTATGTTGAACCTCTTTATGTGTATAATATATTTGAGAAGCGGAAAATGGTTGGTCAATTAACTGGGCGGTGATTGTGATTATGATGATTAAAGGGGAATAAGATTTGATGATGATGATCAAGATTGAAGATCTAACATGTTGTTAATAGTTGGTGTTCATTGAATGATTACAAATTGTTCAATCATCCATCAATCAAAAGGATAAAATAGTAAAAAAAAGTTATGTTTACATCATTTCCGAAGCTATTTGTAGATTGGAGAGAGAGAGAGAGAGAGAGAGAGAGAGATGATAAGATGATGGGGAAAAGATGAGTGTTCATTATGGGAAAGGATGATGATGACAAAAAAAATGAGAATGAAAAGAAAGTGAAGATAATGATGATAACAGGTAAGTAGACAGACATGAGGTGATGATGATGATGATAAGGATGATGGTCATTAGGTTGGTCAAGTTTGTTTATCATGATGATGGGAAATGAGTGAAAGGATGATGATGATGATGATGATTGTGAACAGAGGAAACCGATAGACGGACTTTAATTGTGTGACTTTATCATCATGAAGATTAAGATGATTGAGAGAAAAAAAGTTCTGAAATCGAATTGGATTCAACCGGTTACCCAGAACACAACAAAAACCCTAATCAACTAAATTTAAGGTCACAACTAGTTAATTGTTGATCGTCACTAATTATAATTAAAAGCCATTTAGTTACCAATCGATTATGTCATTCACCTTAATGGGAATCGTCAAAATTAACATAATCATCATCAATAATCATCTAAATTATTGCCACAATTAGGCTGACCAATATATGTTGAGAGTAGTAAATTTTAATCAAACATAAATCTAATTTTAATCAGCAACAATTAACGATCATCAAAAAGGAAACAACAACAATAATAAAAATCGTAAAAAAAAACAAAACTTTTTTTTGCTTGTTTTCCTTTCGTTGATTGGGTTTTAAGATTTTTAATCAACGTTTTAACTTTTCTCGAGTTGATTGTTGATTAAGAGATTATTAAGATTACGATTATGATTATGATTAAATGTTGAATAAATTGTTGAGCTTGATTGTTGTTCAGTTTATTATTATGGAGGAGTGTAAATAAAGCTCGTACTTTGATTTACCAAATTAGCTCAATTATATTCAAACCTAATCAACGATTATCATTAACAGAGGGCGAGATTGTTAATTGTTGAGTTAATCACACTTACGATGATAATTTTTGATATAATAATCAAATAGGGAAGTCGTTAATTGTTAGGCTGTGATAAATGTCTTTGAGTTTAAACAATCAGATTAAAAAATGAACAACAACAACAACAATTAGCAAAGAAAATGAAAACAAAACTTACAGAAAAGTTAATTAATTGATTGCTACGAAATCGTTGATGAACTTTAATTCTTAATCGTAATCAATACAATGAATGAACTGTAATTAATATTAACCTGGTTAATTGTTAATTTAGGTTCGGTTTTATTTTTAGTAACAATTTAATTCTTGTATATATTTTACCTTGATTACTTTTTATTCATTAACTTTTTTTACAATTAACTCGATTAATTGATGTTCATATTTACATTTTTCTTAATTTTTTTCAATTCTTTTTTTCTTAATTGTTGATTAACTAAAGCTTGCTAATTGTTGCCAGGCCAAGTAAATAATAATTGTATCAGGTCAACATTTGATTAACCAACTTGGAGTCTAATTTAATTTTGATTTCAACATTACTATTTATTAATTATTCTGATTGTTCCCATAGTTTAATCAAATTGTTATTGACTAAAAATCAACAATAATCATGATAATTAATCAACAATCAAAAGTTGTGTAAATGGAAAAGTGCAAAAGTGAAATTTTTTCACAATCAGTGTAAACAATTAAATCTAATTGTCTCCAGGTTTGTGTGTGTGTGTGTGTAAATTTGATTGATTTAAAACAATGAGTAATTGTAACAATTTGATCAACGTGATCAATTAATCAAAAAATTTGCGAATCAATAAAATAGACAATCAACTAATCGTTGGAACTGTTGATTAATTCAATTAAGATCTTGACAAGATTATCAACAAAATTGTATCAATGGTTTAAATGGATGATTAAATCAATTTTTCTCATTCCAAACTTAATTGTGCAAATTTGTAGCGGTAACAATTAAATCTTAATCATAATCAACTTTTCTTTTCTCGTGGACTATTAATAAATTACTAATCTGTATTAACTATTCATGTATATACAAGTAATTTAAAGGGTAAACAATTAACAACAATTTGATTGTTGGTACGGAAACTGTTGGTCAAAAGTTTTCTGGTCAATTGATTGTTACTGTTTATTATTATTGGAAATTGATTGATTGGTGTTGAGACGATAACAACAACAATCAAGTAAGTAAACAATTTAGCTTAAAATTGTTCACCATCATGATTAGTTAATTGTTGTATTTCTAACTACCTGATGATTTGTTTGCAAAAAAAAAGTGAAACATCCTAATCCATAACAATTTAAATTGTTGATTATAATAATAGTTACAGTTTTTCAACCTTCACTTTAATTTGATTGTAGATTGATTGTCAATATATACTAACAATTAAATCTGACACTAGACAGATAATTAAAGTTTGTCAAATTAACAAATTGCCTGCTAATGATTTAAATAATTGGTCAACAATTATTAAGCTCAAGTTAATCAAGTTAATTATCAAATATAAGTCAACCTTGTGATGATAAAATTAGTAAATGAATAATTATAATTGTTTAAATACTAATCAGTAACATAATTGACAATCAAGGGAAACAATTTGTTGACAATTAATTTTGTGTGTGAGTGTTGTTATTGTGTAGTAAATTGTTTGATTGTTTTAACTTGGTGATGATCAACCAATTCAGGAACAATTAACTACCCACAACATTGACAATCAATAAATTGTGAATTTCAAACGGTAGCAATTTAAATTGGGACAATTAAAATACACAAAACTAAATCAGTGACAATCAAATGGCAAATCTAAATCAAGAATCTAAATAATAAACTAAATCAAATTGTAATAATTGACATGCAAATGATTTAACAACAAAAAAGGTAATCAAAGTATCCAAACTAACTAACTATTAATAAGTTAATCACCATTAAGATTAAATCAATTTGAATGAATATCAATGTAATTAAATGGATTAATTTTAATTTCTTCACCATCACCATCAACAATTTGACCTATTATGTTGATTAGAATAGATAATCTAATCATAATTAAGTTAATCATCATTATCATTTTCATCACAATTTCTATCAAAATATTATTTATGTGTATTAATGTAATGAATTAAGTTAATTGTAACTGATGATGTTGAGATGATTAAGGATGAAGAATGAACAAAAAAAAAACTTTCTAATTGTGATTAAGGCTCATCATCATCATTTAAACTGGATCGTAATTAAATGATAATCATTATAATAGCATTGATTGGTGATCATAATCAAAAAAGTTAATCAAGGTTAATTTTTTGAACTGAATTAGTTTTTTTTTCAGTTTAAATTGTGTTTACCAAATTAAATAGTTTTCGGTTCCCAATTGATTATTAAGGTCATCATGATAACTATTTAATGTGTCACTTTGATTTTAGAACAAGAAAAATTAAATTGTTGGTCACACACACTCACAGAATTAACTAAATTACTATTAATAGTAAATAGTAAATAATATTATCTCTTAAATACTCGAACAATTAATTAATTTAGTTTAGTATTCTGATTGAGAAAAAAAAAGAAACTAAACAACCAAACAAAAAGAAAAATATTTTTCGTTTAACTGTTGAAAATTTGATTCGATTTGATTGTTAATTTACCCTCGAGGCGATTTTCAAGAAGATGATACTGATGAGATGATGATGATGATGGTGATGAAGACGAAGATGGAGATAATTTAAATTGAGACCTGAATTTAGAAGAAAAAAAACTTGGCCTAGAACTTGAAATGAATCGAGAGAATGAAACAAATAGAAACAATTTTTTTTTCTCTCATTTTCCATTCTAAAAGTGAATTAATTAGAAATCAAATCGAAATTCAAACTGACCAATTAAGAAGAAAGATAAAAGAAGACTCATCTTACTATTAACTTATCATCTTTCATGTTGTACCAATTAGAACTCGATCTAACAACTCGATCTATTGACTTACATATCCAATCCATACCTGAATCTAAAACCTTGCAAACAAATAGTAAACACCTTAAATGATGTTGATCAACATGATCAACTTGAAATATCATCAACAATCAAGGGGCTATTAAATAACCACTCCTGGCCTCAGGTCAGTTTAATGGTATGAAACAAGGTTACAGGTTAAGAAAACAGTTGATGATGTAATAAATTTACCGTTATCTAAATTAAGGTTAGGTAATCAAGAGGAAAAATTTACCTTTGACAATATAATTCATGAAATATAATATTTTGTATTTTTGTTTAGCTTTAAAATTGGACAAAAATAAGATAATCTTAATCAGGTTTATGATTAATACGATGATTAAATTACAATTAACTTGTTTTACCATCAGTTTTGTATTCACTTTGAAAGTGTTGAAACAATTAGTAAACATTTCAATTCTATTATATATTGGCGGTTAATTCATATTCTTGATTGTTATGTAGTGAAATTTGATTACAATTAAGTTAATATTTACCTTGAGATGCATTTTGATTGTTTTGATTAAATAACTTTCACTTTGATTGAGTCTTTTTTGATTGTTTGTTTTGTTAGTCTCTTCAGGTATAGCTGGTCAGTATCTTGATGATTGACCAGAGGAAAAGTTTTTCTTGATTGAGGTCAATAAGTAATCAATTTTTTCGTGAAAATTTGATTGATTAAGATCCGAGGATGCTAATTGTTGACACTTTTATTACTCCTTTCTCATGAAACAATTAACATTCATAAAATCCTGATAATTTAAAAATGATTGAGAACAAATTTTTTGATGATGATGATGATGAACAATTTAACGGTGTACAATTGATTTAACCTTAATTGTTAACCAAATCAAGTCATTATAAGTGATATTTATCGTTGATTAAAAACTGGACACACAAAAGTAATGAAAAATTTTTGGACATAATCAATTTGAAAAATAATCACTTAGTTTCTTGGAGTTGATTTTGTTGATTAATCAGATGCAATTGAAACTGAATTAAATGTTACGATGATAATCACAGGTAAATTACACAAAATCACAGATTAATGTGATTAAGAAAATGGTTACTACGAATTAAGGAAAATTAGTAAATTGATGATTCTTGTTTCGTGAGCTCAATGGAAACAAATGAAAGAATATGAAAACTTTTCTTACCTCTATCTCTCTCTCGCTCTCATCATCATCTCTCTTTCCTACTCCATTAAACTGTAGTAAAACAAGTTTATCATCTTCATGAAGAAAATATAAGAGAAGACAATCTCTTTCTTCTCTTTCTTTTCAACATCCTTCCTCTTACTCTTCCTCTCTCTCTCTCTCTCTCCTCCTCCTCTTCATCTTTTATTGATGAAGATGAGGATGAAGATGAAAAATCGATGCTACTTTTTTATTTCTCTTCTTTTCTTCTATTCACAACTTATTACTATTATCGCCATAAAGATGCTGATCGTCTACGAATTGATAATTTAACGAGAATATAAAAAAAATCCATAAAAATTGGTAACAATCAACTAATTCAATTTGATTGGAAATCACAATTAGCACCATCAATGAATATACATTAGTTAATGGTAACAATCAAATTGTGTGCGAAAATAATAATTCAAATGATAATCAAATCTATGAGAGATAATCAATCGAAATCTTTTCTTTTAATTGTTGATCATCATCATTAGTATTTGATTAATAATTAGTTATGATATGATTAAGAGATATTTAAATGCTGATGAATAAATTTCAATGATCCAATCCAATTGATTAACATGTAATTTAATCAACAACCGGAACAATAAAATTAATCCTCTCATCTGATTCATTGATTATATAACAATCTTATTGTTTAAATCAGTTGATTATGTTGATTTATCGGTGTGATCAATATTGGATTAGAGTTGATTTATTTATATCTAATTGTATCAGTTCGTGGTTTTCAATGGTTCATTTTTTTTTCTGAAAAAATCCTCATGAAAAAAAAAGTTTTTTCAGTTTCGATTGCAATGATTTCATGTTGAGCTTACCAGTTAATTGTAATTGAAACGATTACGAAAACAATGATTTATATACAATTAACCTGATGCTGTGATAATAATCAAAAACATACAGATAAAATAATAAATATATCAATTCAATCAGCAATCAATAAATTGTTGGTTATCCAATAAAAACAGGAAATCGGATGCTGAGCATGAAACAGAAACGGAAATCAAAAAGTAAAAGTAACAATTAATTTCCTACAATCATTATCATCTTTCTTATTGTTGATTATCTTGACAATTAACTGTATCACTTGATGATAATTTATTGATAGTGAAAGTTGTTTTTTTCCTTCAAAGCGAAAATGAAAATAATGATTGACTAGAACTTTTCAGTTCGAGAATCAAGTTCGAGATTCTCAATTGAGAAATCAATGTGAAACTTTTACCTTTTCAATTTGAGAATTTGATTGTTGTCTAATCAATGTGATACTTTAATGATGTGGACCATTAATTAATTGTTAATTGTAATAATAACGAGATGTTTAATTGTGATTAAAAGTTTCTCTAAGTGAAAGTTAATTGTCGGCGTATCGTCTTCACGTTTTTTTGTTATTCTCGATTCATTAGTTAACCAGTTTGTATTTAATTGTTGACAAATTGTTGCTTGATTCAAGGAAAAAAATAGTGTTAATCAACAAGACAATTAACAAATTTTGTCTAAATGTTAATCATCATATTAAATGGTGTTGATTATCATTAAATCAAATTAAAAGTAATCATGTTAATCATCATTATCATTAATTACAGTTTGAACATTTTCAAATAGCCACAAGAAATTGTTAAATACAATTTACTAATCACAATTAAGATTAAGATTATCAAAAAAAAAGATCATCTAATTGCTTTAACAATAATCATCACCATTATTTAATCATAATCATAATCATAATTTGATTTGTTTTATTATAATACTAATTAAATGAAAATGCTAACAATTAATAGACTTGAAAGTAATCATCAACTAAATCAAATTCATCAAGAACAACAATTAAACAGATCAACAATCAACGCTTAAATCATCAAAAGATTTTCCAATCTTGTATATAAACAATAACAATCTTTAATTAAATTAACTAAATTATTATATTCTTAATTGTAATATCATTAAAATTAATACAGAAATCAAATTGTTTCAAAACAATTAAAGAAAAGACAAAAACAAAACCAGAAACAAATTAAAGTTTAAACAAACTAATAAATCATTGGGTACGAGCAAACTAATCATAATTAAATTGTTCACAATTAAATCACACATTTGAATTAGTTTAGTTTGTTAAGATTAATCTGATTTAATAACTATGATAATTCAAAGTAATAACAACAATTTAAAAGTTACTTTTATTTTTGGCGCGAAAAAAAAACAAAATTCAAACTTTTTAATATTTTGAATGTTTAATTTTTAGTATTGTTATTATTTCACAATTTATAATTGCTCATAATGATATATTAATATAAATATGATCATCAACGTGATCAAAGTGAAATGATCATTGTAATGATTGTAATCATCCCTTAATTGTTAAGGTGATAAAAAAACTAATTGAGACTGAGAAAAGTTTTCAGTCGTTGGACATTTAATTTAATAACAACAATCAAACTTCAAAAGTAAATAGTAAATAGTGATAACCTTAACCAGTCCCTCTAATTGTTATCATTAAAAAAACTTTCCCCTTTAATTATATCGTATTTGTCTTCCTCATCATCATCATTAGTACAAAAAAGATTGGCACGTTTATTAAAATATTCGAGATGCAAATTCGAGGGAAAAGTTTTTTTGTTTCTCTTTTTTTTCTCGAAAAGTTCTGAAAATCTTTCATCTATGTCGAAGGAGATTCTCTCCTTTGCTCTTTCATCAATCTCGATGAATGGTCAACAATCCTTACTTTCAACTCTCACCTGAGATTTTCAATAGCAACTGACCAGTCACTTTCTTCAATACAATGCAACTGAAACTGACCACTCACCTTATATGTCCATTAACAGTTAACTGACATTCTGATTGTTGTTGTTTATTGTTTTTCTGTTTTTATTATTTAATCAAATCTTTCTTACCTGTTGAATGATTTTAGTCAATAAAAATAATTGTAACCAACTTTTGTCTTTGTTAATAAATAACAATTTAAACAATTAAATTTTACTCATTAGTTAATTGTTGTTGTTGTGGTCATTTGTTTTATTATCATTTCCTTTTCCTTGATAATAATAAATGAAATACAATTGAATGGTTGCTGTTGATTTAGTTTGCTGATTGTAATGATCAGTGAATTAAAATATAAAGAAAAAAATTGTTCATTTTTAATTTAATTTTTTCTCCTCAACAATCAATTAATCATTGATTAGTTGATTAGTTGATTAGTTGATTTACTTTGATGATTTTGATGGATTAATTAAGATGATACAAAAAAAGATTGATAAAAACAACAACCAGTTAATTGTTTACTTGATTAACTTTCTCTCAATCTCCTTAATCAGTTAATCAACGGATATACAATTTTATTGGGTAACTATTAATACGTTTTGATTGTGATTTAATAATTATCTACTACTACTGGTTGATTGTTATTGATTAGTTAATTTTTTTATTTCTCTCCATTTCTTTTAGCCTTTTTTTGTCGGTGGTTTCTGGTATTAATCATTGAAATCTAATTATAATCATCTTAATCTGATGATTAAAGCTGTAGCTGAGATGATTAGTTAATCAGAATTGAGAAAAAAAAATTTCTCCAATTGAAAAGTTAATCATAATTATAATCATCTTCTTGATTATTGAGATAAATATAATTCGTAGCAATTGGATGATGATGATTTAAATTAACTTCGTGTATTGGGTAACAATTAAAAATGAAATTAACGGAAAAAAATAATCTAAAATTCAACAATTAGAAATCTAAATCAAGTCTCAATCCTCAGCAATTCAATTTATTAAACTGGATCAGTAAAGTGATTAGTTAATTGTTGTTGTTTTTATTTTATCATTTTCTGTTTCAATCTGTTAATGTGAATCACTTTGTCTTAATTGTTACGTCTCGATTTTAATCAGCAAGTTGATTAATCGTTATTACGATTACCATGAATATTTAATTACAACACATTCGTTACTAAATATATGGATTGTTAATTAATTTTCTGATCTTAATCATCTGGATATGTGAATAATTAATTGTTGACCATTTTTTATATCTTCTTCTGTTGATTAACTTGATTGTGTGTTGTGTTTATGGCTAAATCGTGATCAGATAAAAACAATGATTAATTTAATCAACTCACTAATTATATTACGTGTTTAGTTTTAAATCATTGGGCAAAAGAGTTAATTGTTAAACGAAATATCTACTTAATTATGATGCCCTCCCCCTCAAACAATTAACCATTTCCTAACTACAACTACTACTACTACTGATTGTTACCCTGAACAATTAATTATATTAAACAATTAACACTTTAAATGATCAAAATTTTGATTGTAATAGTCAATCAACAATCAAGTATTTCAGTTAACTATTGACCTTTGCCTCTTTAATTGTTTAAATTACTTTCACTTTTACAACAATTAGGATAATATTTATCAACAGAATTGATTGACTTTTGATTGTCCTAATCTATGATTGTAATGATTAGTTGATTTTTAAATTGTTACCACCATTGGATTGATAAACTGTAAATTACTTAATCGTTTAAGATTAACAATCAAGAGCTTCTGAACTTGATTAACCAAAGTCAATTGGTCAATTTAACCTCTGGACAATTAGCTTGTTGAGATTGTGTTGAATTAGTTTAGAAAATTTAATTCCTTAATTGTTTGAGTAGTTTGCCAAAATTGGCACTTAAATTCACTCGGTGTGGTCAATAGTTAAATCATTTTTGATCACAATTTAATAAGTAATTGGATTAATTAGTCATTTGAATTTTAAATCCAAGGGAAAAAAGGATTTCACCTCAAACAATTAACACTTAGGAACTTTTCATTTCATTATTAATCAATTAATCAACCTTGAGATATAAAATTGAATCGTTAATCATGATAATCAGAGTAATTGTTTCTTGTTAATTCAAATGATTAGTGAAATACAACAACAATTAACAGTTGATAATCCAAATCTGGTCAAGTATTATTATCATTATGATGAAAG